GACTCCCCCACTGAGCCAGCACCCCGCTATGGGAAACTCTCTAAGCCACCTGTGGGGCTTCACTAGAGCTTTTGTAGTTTGCAGATCTGTTATATTGTAAATCAGGAGACGCCTTAATCAATAAGCCAAATTTATTTGGAGTCCTTTTCATTGCGATAGCGCTAGCGGGCCCAGAGGAAATCTTGCTTCTCAAATTCTGGGGCCCAATATGGTGGAAGTCTTTCCTATTTATATGTTTTTCAGCTCTTTGTTTTCCAAATTTGGAATGAGACTTCCAGGCCTTCTGAGAAAAAGTCCTACGTGCTGGGACAGGGCCGTGAGACCGTATCTCAGGGCCTGGCCTGGCGCCAGCACGACAGCTCTGTCTGGGGTAGAGTTTACGGCCTCTCTGGAATGGGGAGTATCTTATTTTCCCTGTTATTTAAGCAAACAAACGTTTACAGAAGCCAGACTAGCAGGGTTAAATTTTAAACAGCAGTTTTTACCCACGATGGAGGTTACTATGCTTCAGATCCTATCAAATTGGCTAAAAGTTTTTCAAATGATACTGCCTAAGGCTGTCCATGCCGGGAAAGGCTGCTCTCCCTTCCTGCTAATAGGAAGTGTGAATTGCTAATGCCTTGGTGGAAAGTAATATAGCAATAGCTACTTAAATTAAATATGTATATGTCCTTCAACCAAGCAGTTTCACTCCTGGGATTCTGTACTAATGAAATAAAAGCATCAGTCCTTTAGAATGTGAATACTAGGTGTACCGGTTAATAATGCGGATTTTTTTCACTAGATGGAGTTACACATATGTTGATTGAATATATATATATACACATATATATATATATATATACATATATATAGGATTTGATATGTATGCAATTTTGTTGTGTTGACAACAGCTTCAAAACTTCAGATGTCAAATTTTCTGAAGGTGTTAATATCATAGATATTTTTACGCTTAAAAATGTTGAATTTCATGCCAAAAAAAGAGCATTTGCGGGAAGTTTTAATTCATTACTTTATTTTGAAGAAAAGTGCTATCGATGGACATTACTTTGAATAAAGCATTTTTGATGTTTCTCTTGAAATTATCGTGTTTTCTTTGGATTACAAAATCTGAATTATTAAGCGATTAACAGTTAATCCTCATTTTTAACCGGTTAGTAGTTAATCCACACTATTAACCAGTTAATAATTAAGCTGCATTATTAGGGTTAATAATTCAGATTTTTTAATCAAAGAAAACACAATAATTTCAAGAGAAACATCAAAAGTGCTTTATTCAAAGTAATGTCCATCACTAGCTACACATTCCCCCATCTTTCAGGTAATTTGTGGATACCATCCCAATAGAACTGTTCTTGTTTTGAGGCAGACCATTCAGAGACCCAATTTTCCACTTCATCATACGTTTTGAAGTGCTGCTCAGAAAGTGTGTGTACCATCTATCGGAACAAGTGGTCATCTGAAGGAGCAATACAACAAAATAGCATACATATCAAATAGCATTTAGATCAACATATGTGTAACTCCATCTATTGAAAAAATCTGCATTATTAACCTCCACTCACACATCCACACCCCCTCCAAAATACCCTTAAATATAACCTCAAAGCCAACAAAAGATTTGCTATTTGTTCGGGGGGTTGATTTATTGTTTAAATTCATGCTCCTGTCCCCCCTCAGTGCTGTGGATGTGCCTGGTTCTTGGTTTAGCAGGGGGGCTGTGCACGTTTGTTGATTCTCTTCAAACTCTTGGCTGGCTCACCAGCAGATCTGTGAAAATGAAGAGGTGGCGGCCTTCCCTGAGCCCTCCCCTCAGCAGTGGGTCCTTGCCCACAGAAACAACCCCTCCTCCCTCTTTGTATGAAGGTCCTCTTGGCTCTGCAAGCAGGATGGGGAGGGACAGGATGCAGATTTTATTTGTCTTTGCAAACCGCCTTCCTTCATGGACTTGTTCATCGGAGGTGTGTCTTGCATGCAGTGGAGTTGCTTTATTTGGGGGTTGGTTGCTAGAAGCCAAAAGATCCCCTTGACATTTCCTAGGCGTCCACGCCCTGTCCTCCTCTTCCCAGGAAAGTCTCCCTCATGGCCAGGGTTGTGGTGCCACCAGCTTTGGCCTCTCCTCAGGGGTTCAAGAAAACGAACCCCAACTCTC